GCCAAGAACTGTTGCTCCACCTCCTTGTTTACCACAGTATATAATAAACTCGCTGGAGGTGGAGGAGGGCTGGCTGCTGCTGCTGCAGCTGCTGCTGTTGAGGCAGTTGTGTATCTCCATCCCAGCTTTCTGCACCGAGAACTCTGTATATAGGCTTTAAAAAGGCTATGCTGAAGAAAAGCTAAAGAAAACATGGGACAGTGCAAGTCTAAAGACCGAGACTTTAAGAGAGATTAAAGATGCTAATGCAGTTTTTAGATTTTGTACAGGATCTTGAAGAGAAGTAAAAGAACAGAAAAGAAGTAAACGCTGCTGTTGTGTGTCTCCATGCGAGCACCTAATGTACCTGAGCCCAGCTTTCTGCATGTTTGTTTTCTATCTTTTGTCCCTTCTTCATCCCAGTTGCTCCCAGTTAGATTTCCAGGACAGGAGCTCGCGCAGGTTGTGAGAGCCCGTCTGGTACCGTTCTCCCCCATTCTTGTGGCCTTCTTTCCCCTTACTGGGATTTAGATGACTTTACATATGAAACTTGCTATTTTGGTAACTGTCATCAGTAGTTCTGAGATCCAGAGTGTGTGGCAAATGTTAACTTTCTTTTCAAAGTGGGAATATCATTGTGGCAACGCCAGGCCGCCTGGAGGACATGTTCCGGAGGAAGGCTGAGGGCCTGGACCTGACTGGCTCGGTGAGGTCCCTGGATGTCCTGGTGCTGGACGAGGCAGATAGACTTCTGGACATGGGGTTTGAGGCAAGGTACCAGGTTTTGGACTTGACTTCTGGCAGTGTGCGGGTGATAACTAGTAGAAAATGAGAGCTCGTGGAATTCTTCTGCACTTCCCTGTGCAGTATTAAGTATTCTGATCCACACTGGTGTTTTAGTAGTAGCTTGGTCCTTCAGAGTCTTCAGAGCAGGAGTGGTCCTCATCCTGCTAATCCCAGTTCTTCTGTCCTTCATCTTTTTAAAATTTATTTTCCTAGCCAGGTGTGGTGGTTCACATCTGTAATTCCAGCTTCTCAGGTGGCAGAGACCAGGAGGATCATAGTTCAAAGCCAGCCTGGGGAAATAGTTCACAAGACCCTACCTCAAAAATACCCAACACAAAAATGGGCTGATGGAGAGTGGCTCAGCGTGTAGCCTTGAGTTCAAGCCCCAGTACTGCAAAAAAAAAAAAATTCTTTCATTGTTTCTCCAAGTTTGTTTTTGTCTTTATGTGGCTTTTTTTAGAATATAATTCATATACCATACAGTTCACCCACATAGCCTGTGCTGTAGTGATTTTTTAGTCCCAAAATGTCTTTTAATTGCCCCATTATAAAAGGAGAATACATACTTAAAGTAAGCACATACTTCTTAAATACTTATTGAAATAAGCACATACTTACTATGTGCTTATATCGGAAAAGCTTTGAAAAAATGAAAGCAGAAAGGAAAAACAAGGCTCATGTCTGTAATTCTAGCTACTGGGGAGGCAGAGCTCAGGAGGATCCCAGTTCGAGGCCACTTGGGCAAAGAGTTCAGGAGACCCTGTCTCGAAAAAACTGAACACAAAAAGGGGTTAGTGGAGTGGCTCAAGTGGTAGAGCGCCTGCCTAGCAGGTGTGAGGCCCTAAGTTCAAACCCCAATATCACCCCCCCCAAAAAAAAAAAATAGCTCATAATCTCACTTCTCACTAATATTACCTGCAAATATTGTGATGGTTTCTCTCCCAGTGTTTTCTGTAATTAATTAATTTATTGTTGGGGATGGCACTCAGAGCCTTGCACGTCCTAGGTGGGCACCCTGCCAACTGAGCTATAACCCAGTCTTCTGGTCTTTCTGCAGCATAGTGTAATGAAGCACCGAGTGTTGACTGTGCGGGTAGGGGAGGGCTACAGTAAAGGCAAGCTGTCTTTTTCCAGCATAAACACCATACTGGAGTTTTTGCCAAAGCAGAGAAGAACGGGCCTTTTCTCCGCCACGCAGACGCAGGAAGTAGAGAACTTGGTGCGCGCTGGCCTCCGGAACCCCGTGCGGATCTCAGTGAAGGAGAAGGGTGTGGCAGACAGCAGCACCCAGAAGACGCCCTCCCGCCTGGAGAACTTCTACATGGTGAGCTTGGGCTGGCTCCCCCCAGCCTGCCATCCAGCAGTGTGGCCACTGCTTGGGGTTGCTGCTTGAGGTCGTTGGAAGGTAAATCGTTGACAAGATGCATCTGGGGACATAAGTAGGATAGCTGGTCTGAATGACAAGTGGTCCTAGTCGTTGAGTGGTGACTGATAGGTTACCTTGAGCATCAGTGTATTTACACACTCTCAAGGACAGTGTCACCAAACCTCCCAGCCCGTGTGGCCCTGTGCTCTGATCACGTCTGGGTGTGCTGGTCATCTTGTGTGCCCGCGACTCAGAAGGCACAGCCAGGTGTGAGGTGAGACACAAAGTCACATGGCAGGCTACAGGAGATTGGTTAAGACACCTGTTCTGCTCTGTAGTGTTGTTTCTGACCTGCGTCTGTACTGCTGGTCTATAGCCAGAATTAGTGTCCCTGCAAGGCAGTGGCCAGGCTTTGGGGAATTTGATTATTTAGTGTGTACTCTTCTCTTCTGTCACTGGGATGGGCCACAGGGTGGCTGACAATACAGACAGCTGGGGAGGCAGTGCCACCAGGACTGGGAGAACCCACATCCAGTGTCACTGCGTACAGGGCACATGAGACCCTCAGCCCGGGACGGGGAGGGACTTCTCAGCCTCTGAACATGGCCAGTACTCAAAAGGAGGGGGCTGGGTTCAAATCCAGACGGTCTCTGTTGCTGTGAACTGTTCTGTGGATAAGGCTGCTGTCCTGGTTGTGGCTCGTGGACAGATAGAAGGTTGAAACCATCCTAGGCAACTGCCTGGAGAACGTCGTTGGGGTTAGCCTCTAAATGCATCTTCTGAAGTGGGCACTGGACTGCTGTTCACATTTGTGATGGAAAGAGCTGGCTCTTTTCGGGGAGGCGTTGTGGGAGTGCAGTGTGGAACAAGACTTCCCAGCTGTGGCTCTCAGCTTTGTTCCTTACAAAGCCACCGGTGCCCTTGCTAGGTCAGGGCTGACAAGTGGGCTGCGGGACTCCGCACTTCACAGGGAGTCCACATGGAGGTTTGGGCAGAGCGAAGCCGTGAGCACTGGCAAATGCGCCCTTTAGTGTGCTCTCTTTTTCACGCAACTGTATGTGGGGTGTCTGAGTCCCTGGAAAGAGCTTCTGCTGAGATGCTGGCCTTGCTAAAGACAGGAACGCAATGACCTGTGTGTTTCCACTGGGCTTGGGTGGACTCTGTCCCTGTGGAGGTGCTCTCCTTAGTGCAGTGGCCTCTGAACTTGACCTCAGCTTCCTCTAGGGAGCTGGCAGGTGACGTGCATTCTTCAGGGTCTCTGCTGGCCCAGAGGAGCTGTGCGCTAACTGTCTCCCCCAGAGCTGGTGCTGTAGCTGGGCGGTGTGTCTGAGACTTGGAAGGCTGTATCAGACGACATTTCTCAGTTGTGTGACTGAGCTGATGTTTGCAGTTCACAGCACACATGTTGCTCTGAGCTAGGTAGACTGACTCATGTGCCTAGAGACTGTCCTATTCTGGAGGAAATTGAGTTCTTTAAAATTTAAGACTGAAATTTAAAGTATAGTCGGGCTTATTTATTTTTAAAAATGTTTTTACTTTCCCTTGTTTTGTAGGTGTGTAAGGCCGATGAAAAATTTAATCAGCTGGTACATTTTCTTCGAAATCATAAGCAGGAAAAACATCTGGTATTTTTCAGGTACTCTCTGGGCTCTAGTGAGGGAGGCTGGGATTTAGTCACCCCCAGAAAGTACAGGAAGCCCCAGTTTTGAGTTCCACCTGGGTTGCTTCTCTTGGGACATGCTATGCTGCAAATAACTGAAACCCAGCTTTTTTCTCTTTTTTTGGTGGTACTGGAGTTTGAACTCAGGGCCTCTTGTGAGACAGGCATTCTACTTACTGCTTGAGCCTCTCTGCCAGCCCCTAGCTTCTGTGATCCAACAGGAGGTTGGTTTTTCTGTTGTAGTGAGAAGCCCAAAGGTTTCTGGCGTTGCTTCAGTGTGTCGGTAACGTCAAGGTTAATTTTTTTCCCTTTGCTAATACTGCCAAAAAAGAAAGAAAAAAGGCTGAGACCTGCTCCATTGATCTCAGGGCTCAGGGCCCCCTACATTGCTTTCAGGATTTGTGGGCTGTGTCTCATTTTGTGTAAAACCACACTTTGTTGTATACTCATGTGACTCTTGGTGGAAAACGGCAAAGAATCTGCTTCTGCTCTCTAGCCTAGGTGGGCTGGAACCCTACTTGGAACCCTGCAGTGCAGTGTAGCCTGGAAGAGCTTGGAGGGAGTGGGCCTAGGCTGTGGGTCCACCCCTTGCTCACGTTGCCTTGTGGGAGGCCGTAACTCTCTCAGCTGCTGAAGGAGGTGGAATCCTTCGAGTGTGGAAGAGAGGAGCCTGCGGTGAACTTTATCAGAGAGTTGCTGGGTAAACAGCTCAGAGACTCAGAAAGTTGGGAAGAGAGGACCTAGAAACCCCCTCTAGAGAGCCTGAGGCAGGATTGTGGGTGTCTCTGCAGGGCCTCTCTGCTGGGATGGCCCTGCTTGGGCCAAAGTCCCTGGGAGCTGTGCTGCGTCTGAGCCCGGGAGCCCCGTTCATTTTCACGGGAGAGCAGGGGTGCTCTGAAATCCTGAGATTTATGTGCGAGCTGTCATTGCTTTGTTCTGGATGACACATGCAGGGGCAGGGCGCCCTCCCACCTCTGGATGGTGGGAAACGCCCTCAGGGTTACACTTGAGTTTAAGGGGTTTTGTCAGCTCGGAGAGGATTTCAGACGTGGAACTTAGCTGGGGTGAATCTCAGGGCGCCCTCCCCTCGCTCCCACAGAGAATATCAGCCGCTTCTGCCTCTGTTGCTCACTGCCCCCTTCCCCAGTCACAGGACGAATGGCAGTGACTAAGCCCTCTGTCCCCTCACAGCACGTGTGCCTGTGTGGAGTACTACGGAAGGGCCCTGGAGGCCCTGGTGAAGAATGTGCAGATTCTGTGCATTCACGGAAAGATGAAACACAAGCGCAACAAGGTCTTCACAGCGTTCCACAAGCTGCAGAGGTGGGTGGGGCAGCTTTGCCTTCGCCTTCCAGGGGCTCCGACTCGGGTCTCAGCTGGTGCTCAGCATCTTCTCTGTGGGGATTCCCAGGGACACTGTCCATGGGGTGCAGGGGTCACTTGCTTAGTTATTGGACTTGCCTAAGGTTGCACATCCTGTAAAGACAGGAACCCGGTACCTGGCATTCACTCCCGGATTTCCTTGTGCCTGATCCAGTGGAGGTTTTGGTAACTACTGTGCCCTGGATGTGTAGAACAGAGGGCATGAGCTCTTAGTCTTGTTCCTGACAGAAACTGCCTGTAGGTTGTCAGGTGGTGGCTGCAGCAGGCGAATCGTGGTCTCCAGGCCAAGCATCCCTGTTTCTGTCTACATGCGTAGTCATCTTCTGTTTTCTCAGCTGCTGCTCTGCCACATCAGAGCCTTTGTAGGGGAATCACACACACTGATTGCTGTTCTCGGTCATGAAGTGAGAACATCACTTGTTTCTTAAGTGGCTGCCAAGGATTGGCCTGCCATAGGTTTGTTTTCTAAGTGGAAATGCACTACGTAAATTATACCTGTAATCCTAGCACTTGGGAGGCTGAGGCAGGAGGATGGAGAGTTCGAGGCCAGCCTGGGCTGTATAGTGAGTTCAGGCCAGACTAGATACATAGCAGGACCCTATGTCAAAACAAAAAAATCTTTTCGCTGTCTTCCTCAGTTTCCATTTTCTTTGGGAACTGTAAAGTCATAGAGGCTCTTAGGAGGAAGAAAAAGTCAAAATATTACCATCAGTAAGTACTTAGCTTCTGTGAGAAACAGAAACTACTGTAATGACAGTAGTCATCGCTGGGGCCAGTGGCTGATGGTGACCTTACTCAGAGCACTTTCTCTTCCAGTGGCATCCTGGTGTGCACTGATGTGATGGCGCGGGGAATTGATATTCCTCAAGTCAACTGGGTTTTGCAGTATGATCCCCCCAGCAGTGCAAGGTATGACCACAGAGTGTTACCCTTCTAGAGAGTAGGAATTCAGGGGAAGGTAAACATGAAATGCCATTCAAATCATTGTTCTAAACAGAAAAATAGACAAATGGGTGAATAAGTTCTGGTGTGTTAATGGTGTTACGAGTGTAGCAATTAAAGTCACTTTCAAATACAGACATGATAGAATATTAAAAGGGTGAAGAGAAATACATTTGTACCATAAATGAACGTTGTAATTATTTTCCCCAAAGTAAGCATCTATTCCTTACACGTGCTTCAAACCATGGCAAATGCCATAAATGATCCCCCAAGTGGCAAGGTAATAGTGGAATATTCTGAGATTACAGGTCTTTTTTTTTTGGGGGGGGGGTGATACTGGATTTGAACCCAGGGCTTCATGTTTGCTTGCTGGCACTCTACTACTTGAGTCACTCTGCCATCCCTTTTTTCTGTGGTTATTTTTGAGATAGGGTCTCACTTTTGCCTAGGCTGGCCTAGACTGTGACTGTTTTATGTTTCCCATTGTAGCTGGGATGGCAGGTGTGGGCCACCATGCCATTTTTTTTTTTTTCTCATTGAGATGGGGTCTTAAGAGCTTTTTTGATTGGGCTGGCCTTGAACTGAGACCCAACTGATCTCAGCATCCCAAGTAGCTGGGATTATAGGAACGAGGCATTGGTGCCAGTGACAGGTCATTTTTATTCTGTCCTTAAAATTCCTTTCCAGATTTTCTGCTGTGGCCCTTTCCTACTTGTATGATTTAAGAGGGAGTTCTAAGTTTATGTCATTTTCCTAGAGTTCACGTCAATATATGACAGCACCTGTCTGCAATGTCTGTTTAGTTGCAGCCTTCCCATTTCTTGTGCTGGTCAGTGGCCGAGTTGGCCATGTGGCCAAGGCCTGGCCTGCTCACTATTGCTCCCACTGTGCTTACAGTGCCTTTGTGCATCGTTGTGGCCGTACAGCCCGCATCGGCCATGGTGGCAGCGCTCTGGTGTTCCTCCTGCCCATGGAAGAGTCCTATATCAACTTTCTTGCAATTAATCAAAAAGTAAGCTGTCTTCTCTTTTTATATCAAATACCTGGTGACAGGGTGGCCAGAAAAGTTCTCTGGCACAAGGTCAGAAACCTAGATGAGGTGCTGGAAACTCACCCAGGCCAGGCCGGAGACGTCAGCGGGAGCCTGGCTGACTTCACCATCTGGAGGCACTGGGTCACTAGGGTGGCACTTCTGGGCTCAGGCCAGGGTCACAGCTTAGGAGCAGGGATCCCATGTTGCCATACTGTCTTACCAGATCAGGATTGCTACATGAAATCTCATTTTCAGACTTCTTTTTAATGGCAATGGGTTTAGCCTTTGGTTTTATTGGCACTGTGATGGGGAGAGGTGACAGCTGCCAGGGACAGTGACGCTGTGGTCTCTGTAGTGCCCCCTGCAGGAGATGAATCTCCAGAAAAACACAGTGGACATTCTGCCAAAGCTCAAATCCATGGCCCTGGCCGACAGAGCCATGTTTGAAAAGGGCATGAAAGCATTCGTGTCCCACGTGCAGGCGTACGCGAAGCATGAGTGCAGCCTCATCTTCAGGTTGAAGGGTGAGTGCTTCCTTTCAGCCCAGCCTTGTAAGTGGGAAGTCACTTGTCTTAGTAAAATATGTGGGATATGTTAGGGTTAGTGGGCTTTGGATGCTGAAGAATAAACTGACCACTGGCTGCCGAGATCCCCCACCTTGTCTCCCCATTCACAACACAGGCTAGACACGGCCTGGGCTGAGGCCTATGGGGAAGGTTTACTTTGCCTCCTCTTTGAATGCAGTCAGTGTAAGAACACAGCCTGTGGTAAGCACCAGGAGGCCATGCTGAGTTCCTTTCAACCTTATAAAAGTGTGGCTTTTTACAATTGAAGCTCACATTAATCCATTAAGTCTATGGTTAGAAACATCATTGTGTGTGGAACTGTCCAGCAGTGAGTGTTGCAGTCATCTTTTGGGTGTGCTGACTCTGGTGTTCTGATTTAACTAGATCTTGACTTTGCCAGTCTTGCTCGAGGTTTTGCCCTGCTACGGATGCCAAAGATGCCAGAACTGAGGGGAAAGCAGTTTCCAGAATTTGTGCCTGTGGACATCAATACAGACACGATTGCATTTAAGGATAAAATCAGAGAAAAGCAGAGGCAAAAACTATTGGAGCAACAAAGAAAAGAGAAAACAGAAAATGAAGGGAGAAGAAAATTCGTAAAGAATAAAGCTTGGTCTAAACAAAAGGCCAAAAAGGAAAGGAAGAAAAAAATGAATGAAAAAAGGAAAAGGGAAGAGGTAAAGTCTGAAGTTTTCTTTTTTGGGGGATGGGGCAGTACTGGGGTTTGAACTCAAGAGCCTCAGGCTTGCTAGGCAGGCGCTCTACCACTTGAGCCACTTCACCAACCCTTGAAGTTTTATTACTTAAATTTCAACTTACAATTCTGAACAAGTTTTGCTGTAATAGAATCTTTTAAAAATTGTTAGAGTCAGGCATGGCAGCACAAATCTGTAATCCCAGCACTCAGGAGGCTAAGGTGGGTGAATCTCGAGTTCAGGGCCAACCTAGGCTACATGGTGAGACCATCACAAAAAAAAATGAAAAGGAAGAGAAAACAAAAGGAGTTAAGTGAGGCTGTCAGAGTTCTGTCCTGTGTTGGTGACCAGCTTGCTATGTTTGTCAAAGCTGACCTGAGAATATGTAATTCCCTAGTAAAAATGGCCGATTTCACTAGAACACTGTGCTGAGGAATTTAGCAGTTTGTTGGTTTCTTCTGCATTCAGGGTTCTGATATCGAAGATGAGGACATGGAGGAACTTCTGAATGACATAAGGCTTTTGAAAAGCTTAAAAAGAGGCAAAATCACTGAAGAAGAATTTGAGAAGGGGTTGTTGACAAGTGGCAAAAGAACAAGCCAGACGGCAGATCTAGGGATCTCAGACTTGGAAGGTGACTGACTGGTGATGGCAGAGCCTCAAGGAAGCACCGAGGACTCTTGTTTGAGTCCTACCCAACACAGGGCGGCTCTTGTTTGCCCCTCCCAACAGTCAGGGCTTCAGGGACACCTAAGACTGTCCTGGAGAACCATCATCACACTGGGGAGAAACCAGGGGGCTGCACACTTGTGACTATTTGACTGTAAATAACAGATGTCAATATTTGTTTTGATGTCACCTATAATTAAAGAGATCTTTTGTTTTCTGAGGTTATTTTATACTTTTTTTTTTTAGTGTAAAGATACTGAAGTAAACTTGACTTTAGGTTTTTTAAAGTTCCCAAGTGCCAGTCACTGGGGGCCCCCACACGTAGTCCTGTGTACTTGGAGCGGAGATCAGGAGGATTCACGGTTCAAAGCCAGACCTAGGCAGATATGAGCGAACTTATCTTGAAAAAAAACTTAACACTCAATTTCCTAAGTATTCCAGGCACCTGACCTACCTGGGTGTCCTTGCCTCCAGGAACTCACTTATTTGCTTTCCTGCACAAAGCATGTGCAGAGGTGGCCAAAGTGCTAGGGTTTCTTTTCTTTCCTTTTTTTTTTTTTTTTTCTATGACAGGGTCTCATTTTGTAGCCCAGGCTGGCCTTTGAACTCACCATTCTCTCCTTCCACCTTAGCCTCCCAAGTGCTGGAATTCTAGGTGTGCCACCATGCCCAGCCTGGAGTTGCTCTTTTAAGAATAGGTCATGCTGTTTTATTGGTATGTATCTGAAAAACAGGAAGCAGATCACGTTCTGAGAATCATTGTGGTGGTATTTATGCCTTCTGTTGAATGAACTTGTAACTCACCATGCCGGAAGTGTGTGGGCTGCAGAGTTCAGAGGTTGCGTGAGGTCAGCTTGCAGTATTGTTGCAACACCATATCAAAATATTTCATTTAATTTATTTGAAAAGATGCTGAACTTGTTTCTAAGTTCAATTTTAAAAAGCTGTTTAGGACCCAAACATATTTAGAGAAAACTCCCACAGATACAGAATTTGGATTTACAGATATTCCAGAAGGTGTCTCTGTAAGTGGTGAGCCATCCAGGATCTGACACAGTGCAACTTCTGCCTGCTTGTGTTCTCAGTACTTGATGCTCCCTGTGACCTGACACTGCAGGGGGAATGGAGCCAGATGCACAGTCAGCAAGTGTTTGCCTTACTTACAAGGCACTGTGTGTGAGGAGTCACTTACTGCAGAGGGGCTGCTGTGGTCAGGAACACCTGCATCACTTTCACTGACGTACCTGTCATATCAGCCTCGACTCTGGGGGAAGAGGAGGGAGGTGCCTTGGTTGTCAGGCACAAAGCCAACAATAAAAATATTTCTGCAAACAGCCAACGGGATTTTGAAAATCATATTATGTTTAGGGTTGGTTTTTTAGAACCAAAAATACATTTTGGATGGGACTGAGATAAAAAAGATTCTCCAGGGCTAAAGTTAAGTCCTTAGTCCACAAATCTTCAGTCAAAATTCAGTTTTGGTGTCTGGCTGGGGGTCAAGAGGCTGCTCACCCTGCCCTGGATGAGCCCAGGATGCTGACAGGAGAGGACCCAGTGGTTACAGATACAGCTTGATGAGTTCATCGCTGACTGCTGAGGGGGTCAGCACACCCAGGTCTGTGAACAGCAGGGTGATCAAAGAAGGTGAGGTGTAGTCCACCCACGGGTGTTCTTCTTTGAGGTCCTGCCCGGTCTGCACAGACTTCAGGGTATCTGCCTTGTACTGAGGGGAGAAGAGCCCATGTTAGTGCCCAGGCTCTGCGCTTTGTGTGAGGCTTTGGCCTGACACTGCCATGCAGCACTCTGCTGGGGAGTGCAGAGCGGCTGCTGTGAGCCACATCGCTGGCCGAGGGCAACAGCACAGAGGAACCTGTACCACTGGCCCCTCAGGCACGTCTGGACTGACTTGAGACGTCTCGAGGCAGCGTGTGCCGGGCACTGTGCTGGGCCCTCTCTAGCGTGCTCAGGTAATGCCGTCCCAGCCTACAGATAAGGAGGCTGAAGGTCAGAGGCTACAGAAGGACTTGGCCAAGGTGGCGTGGTTTGTAAATGGTGGAAGTGGGAGTTGAGTGGACCGTGAACTCCACAGCTGGGATCCACCCACCATCCTCTCTGCCTCTCTTAGCCTGTATGGAGTGCTGCTTAAGTGAGTGAGAGACAGAGTGAAATTCTGGGGACCAATGTGAGTCCAACTTCAACCACAAGTTTCTCTCTGCCTCCAGACAATAGGAAGTGAGTCACTTCAGGAACAAGCATTCAGTTGAGACTTGACCCCTTCACATTTGCAGACTTGCCTTAAATTTATCCGGGACGTCTTGCTGGTTTAGCGGGAAGAGCCGTACGAACTTGAAACTTTCTGCCACCACGTAAAAGGGTTTGTTCTGTGCTTTGGCACACACAGCCATCTGGTTGGTTCCAATCTGGGAAGTTAGAGAAAATGGACGGATGCACTCTTACAGCACATTTGAAATAGAAGTGACAGAAAATGTGAGTAACATATGTAATTCTGGCTCTGGAGCCAAAGAGGACCTTTTAAAAGAGAAAACAATAAATGTCTCTCCAAAGACAAACAAATGCCCCAAAGAGCATGAAAAGCTGCTCCACTCCTTGGTAATTAGGGAAATGCAAGTGAAGCCCAGTCAGGTGGCAGGCAATTCGCGCCTCCTTGGGACTCAGACATGAAGGCTGTCACCCTTCACGACAGCCAAAGGTGGAGACAACCCTGTGTGCATGGCGAAGTGAACACAGGAACCTCATACAGCAGAGCACTACTCAGCCACATGAGGTTCTGATCCCTCACCACAGAGGAACCTTGGAAACATGCTCAGTGACATAAGGCAACTCAGAAAGGTGAGTGCTGCACGAGTCTGCTTATTTGAGGTCACAAGAATGGGAAATCAGAAGACAGAATAGGACAGAGGTGACCAGGGGCTGGAGGGCAGGGTGACGGCCAATTAGTCTTCAATGGGTGCAGAGTTTCTGTTGGGAAGAATGGACAGTGTGATGGTAGCACGACAATGTGAGTGTGCTTAGTGCTCTCAACTGTACATGCAAGAAATGTAAAATGGCAAACTTTTACATATGTAAAAAACAAACCTATATATAAGATAATAGGTTTATATTTATGTATAATTTGGCAGTACTTCAGTTTGAACTTGCCCTTGCAGTTGCTAAGCAGGCTCTACTGTGTGAGCCATGCCTCCAACCATTTTTGCTTTTAGTTATTTTCTCAGATAGGGTTTTTGTCGTGGGGCTATGATCCTCCTGCTGATGCCTCCCACATTATCTGGGATTATAGGAATGTACCACTACTATCTGCCTTCTTGGTTGACATGGTGTCTTGCTAACTTTTTGCCTGGGTTGGCCTCAAACCACAATCCTCTCAATCTGCCTCCCAAGTAGCTGGGATTGCAGCTGTGAGGCATCATGCCTGGCCTTGTTTTATTTATATAAATACATATACATACATACATATCAAATACATATGTATATATCACAATTACTTTTTTTTTTTTTTTTTTTCAGTACTGGGGCTTGAAGTCAGGGCCTCACACTTGCCAGGCAGGCACTCTACCACTTGAGCCACTCCACCAGCCCTTTTTTGTGTTTTGTTTTTTAATTTTTTTTTTATCAGAATATATTCGTTGTACTGGGGGGATTCATTGTGACAGTTCCAAATAGGTTTATATTGTACATTGGGTCCATCATCCCCACTGTCTCTTGTGTTGGGTATTTTTGAGATAGGGTTTTACAAACTATTTGCCCAGGCTGTCCTCAAACTGTGATCCTCCTGATTTCTGCCTCCCAACTAGCTAGGATTACAGACATGAGCCACCAGTGCCCAGCTTAAAATTTTTGTTCATCAAAATGTTTCAAGTTAAGGAGTGAATAGAGAAGTTCTAATGAAATATACTGGGGCTGAATATGCTGAATTGAAATGAAAACAAAAACCATACAAGCCCCGATTCCAATTAAAACCTATTTTTCACAAGTATATAATTACACTGACTGAATTTATGTATATCAATCTCCAAAGAAGGACATTTCCCCAAAATTTGGTGGGCTGCTGCACTGGCTTACAGAATCCTGAGGGAGTCCTGAGTTACGGATGCTCAGGAGGAAGGCCTGTGGCCTGCAGCACAATTTTGGGGTCCTAGCTCATCTTGAGCAAGGCCCGGGATGATGCTCCCACCTTGTTAATGACGCCTCCGTTTTCCACGACTCCTTCAGCACCAACAATGACGAGGTCTGCTCTCTCCATGATGTAGCTGAGGAAATGAGAAAAGCTTTCTGGGCTTGCTGTTCTTGCTGTCGCTAGTAGCGGCACCCTCTGCAAGGGTTGCTGTTCGTTTTCTTCATGGCACATTCCTACCCTATCTTTCTCAGAAGGGCACCTTTACACAGGTGACTGGCCCTGGCATTGTTACCAGTGCTCTTGCCTCAGGCACTGAGACCTTTTTGAATCATAACCCCACAACATGACAGACACTTCACACTGCCACCTGGCGAGTGCTCATGTACACCTGTGAGTGACTGCACGACCTTGCAGGTTCTGCCTCGCTGCTGTGGTGCACTTTGGTTACTGCTCCACTTCAATACCAATCAAACTTAAAAGTCCAATGTGATCTGAGGTAATTTAAGAATCTTTCTAGTAGGGTAAAGGCAATTCACCTTTTAAAATGAGCAATTTGTACAACTGTTCAAAATGCTCATTGCTCTTGAACACATTCTTAAGTTTCCTTAATTACGTGTTGTCTTTCCAAGTGATGATTACTCCTGTCTTCTCTTGTCAAGCACATGGAAACCCAAGGGACAGGTGACCTTAGTTTTAGGAGAGCAGATGCCGAGGTGAGACAAAGACCCCAGTATGCCAGTGTGGCCAGCCCACGTCATGGGGCAGAGACAGCACTGGTCACTGTAGGTGCTGACCTACCCTGTCTTTGTGTCTGGCTCTTAGAATGCACTGCACTCATACCCAGAGTGCTATGGACACAGCCTCCTGCCCACACCCTGAGCTCTGGCTTCTGCATGCCTCTCTCGACTATGATGAGCTGCTGGTGAAGACAGCTATTAGTTAAGAGGTGGATGCCATCCAATGTGGTTTTATGAGTGGGATTCACGCCTTCAATCTGAAAACCTGCTGGGAGCCAGCCCCTTGGTGGGTGACAACAGGCCATCAGGGCAGGGAAGATGGGCACTTACCCAACAGCAGCATCCAGCACCACAGTGACAGGGACGTTGAGGTGGCAGAGGGCTTTGGCCATTTTCTTACTGAAGATGACATGAGAGAAGATTAGAAAGAAGTCTGAAGAAGTTCTATTGTGATGCTTGATGGGTCAACTCAGACAGCGATAAATCAAGTCAACTTGAAACTCATTAATACTAATGGACTGCGGGGCAGATCCTGACACTTTGGACTGAGGAAACAAGAATTTTTAGAGAAAAGGGTATTTCAGGAAATCTATACTGTTAGGGACTCTGGGTAAGAGATGCAAATTCAGAAGAAAAAACAAAGTTTGCTTTTATGATCTGAAGAGATGGGGACACGAGTCATCACTCCATGACTCTTTTGGTTCCTCTGGCTTTACTACTTACATAAACCCCTAGAGCTTGTCCTAGGGCTTCTGTGAACCCAGTATGATTTTTCTTCCATGGGTAGGAATGGACACAGAGGCAGTGATGACCACCTGGCCAATGAGGGGCACATCTGGTCCCCACTGCAATGGCTTCTCATCCCCAGTCATGTAACTTAGCAGAGAGGTACTTGCCCGGACAGGTCAGGTTGAGACTCTGTAATGTACACACTGAAACGTTTCTTGGCGGCCACGGCTGCCTCCAGGACTCTCAGGACCACTCTGGAGTAGGCGTGAGTCAGTATTCTCTGTGGAGGGAGAAGGCACTGTCAAAGGGCGAGCTGTTATGTGACGCATGCCCCTCTGCACTCGAAGCTCCTCAGCAGGCTGATAACCAGAAATGAGAGCTGGATGGCAGCTGATGCTCCTCCCTCGTGGGACCCCTCCAGTCACTGACCGCATAGAAACCCTGTATATGTGAAGCTTGTGAGGTTCCCAGCATGGTTTCCCAGTCTGTTAGACTTGGGTTATGCATGTGGGCCTCCAGGTACCACACAGGCCATGTAAGTCAATTCAATGGGTGGAGCCAGGTCAGTGGAAGGGCCTCAGCTGTTGCTGCTGTCACATTGGCCAGCTAATTTTGTAAAGGAGCTGAAGATCTAGTGACTGCTGGCTAACAAATATCTCTAAATTTATAAGTATTGTTTGGGGTAAACACAAGCCATCTATGGTGTAGATAATGACTTGTGGATACTTACACGTGACCTCTGTTCTAAAGAACAGTGCAAAGTACTGTGTGAGGCAAGATGGTGGACATGGGTGTCTAGGTCATCTCAGGCCTCGCCTGATGCTTGTTAGAAAAGCAGGTTCTCAGCCCTACCCTGAGCTAGTAAGCTGTATTTCATAAGAACCTCCTGCCTGTTCACATGTGGGCAGTTCTGCCCTCAGCTTAGTATAAATCAATGCTGCCATAGGTGGTGCAGGCAGATGGAACCCTGCAGGACACGGACAGCCTGGGAAGGCTGCAGTAGGGTGGCACAGCCTTGCTTCCACCTGGCCTCAAAAGGTTTCATTTGCAACAGGCTTTTACAGGTTCCAGTCATACCTACTAGGTCATTTGTTTAATAACATGCTTCAAAGGCTGGGAAGGGGTAATAAAACAGAGGACAAGATTTAAGAATTGAAGTGCAAGTACACACTTTTATGATCAGTGCAGGCTCAGGTGGCAAAAAGGAGATGTGCTTGGGAAAGACACTGTCAGAGTGCTACCACCCATGTGCTGGGAGACTGGCCTAACTTGCCATTCCTGTGTCTCCTCACTAGCTTATGAACCCTTGGTGGCTTTGCATCGCTGTAGCAGCCTCTGAAAGGAAGTTAAAAAGAAAGTCTTCATGCACTGCCAGCCTTGGCCCTGAAGCGCAACCAGGGCCAGGGGCTGGGCTGTGTGCATTCACTTCAGGTTAGTGTGCTATTTATCCGGTCATAAAACTACTTCTTTAGGAAAGCATGTACTAATCAAGCCACCCATGCTGTGCCGGCATCTCTCTGCTTGCTTACAGTGAGAAGCATCTGTGCTGACACTGTCCTTTACAGGACGCTGATGCTGCACCAGGCAACGTAGAATCATACGACGCCAAGGTGTGCACTCTCGCCCTCATTTAGCAGATGAGAAAAGTGCAGCACAGAGAGGTTAAGTCCAGCAAATCATAGCAGAGCTACATCTTTATCCCCCGTTCTTAGTCACCACATGTGACAGCGATCTACTCACTGCTCCATCTTTGATGAAAGTATGGCACAGATCGGCAATTTTATTCCTTGACAGTGATATTCTCCTGAGAAAAAGCTCTCCCCGCTCAATCATAATCTTTTTACATTTGGAGTAATCCTAGGAGGAAAAGAGTAAGGTGAGGTGAGAAGTCCTACCTAAAGCTGAGACTCTCTGTAGGCAAGTAGAGCCATGGGAGGGTGACCCAAGGCAGGGCAGGACTTACAGAGTACTCCAGGGAAGTAAGGCTGATGAAGCGGAGGAAGAGCTCCCCGCCAGAGGACACCGCCACGGAGGAGTCCACACCGCACAGGGTTTCTATGGCATTGGTGAGATTTGCTCTCAGGCCCTGGATCGTTTCCCCTAAAATCATCAAACAAGGAATGTGGGGTTCATGTCAGGGTCACAGCCCTTTCTGGGCCCACGATTCATTCCTTCGGTGAATATTACTGGGTGCATTTGCATGCCAGACACTGTTCTGTGCTCAAGACAGGGCCCTGCTCGGATGGAGTGCCCTTCTGGTGGAAGATGCAGACAAAAAACAAGCACACAAAAACATAAACAAGTACATTACAGATTGTAATGAGGAGAGAAAAGGCAGACTGATGAACGAGGCAGGGCTACTGTGCTAAAGTTCTCTTGGAGTGGGGGCCATTTAAGCTGCGACCTGAATAAGCAATGGCCCAGTCACATAAAGATGCAATGAGAAAAGTTCCAGGTGCAGACCTATGCAAAGATCCTAAGGTGGTAAAAAATCTGGTATGGAAAACAAAGTGAGGCCAGCAGGACTGAAGTAGTTTTCAGTCAGGGATAGCACAGAAGGCCATTAAGCGTGGCAGACAACATCTGTGAAGCAGTGCAGGGAGCCTAAGATGTGTGAATGCTATGCAAGCAGAATAGGAAAACACTGGGGGGGTTCAGAGACCTACGTCTCAGTCCAGCCCTTAAGATTAAAGCAGGCATCAGCATCATTTTGCTTATACAAGATGCTTACATTTAGCATCCTGAATTAGGAGAGCACAAGGAATGATATTAACAGCAGAACTGATTATGGAACATTCTCTGCAGCATCTGCACAGACTCTGAGACAGGAAGATGCTCAGTATGAACATACTAGCTTTTAAAGTTGAACTACTAGCTTTATTGCTAATGTGTGATATAACAGTCACTCTTGATTCAAAGCCTATTTCAGTTATGAAAGGGAACTCTTCCTCTTTGTTTCCTTTTCTTTTTCTTTTGTAGTACTAGAGATTGAGCTCAGGGCCTCATTCACATGCTAAGCAAGCAACTC